GAGAAGAGAAGACTCCCTGGAAAAGCCCCTGTTGTTGGGAAAGAGGAGAAGGGGACAACAGAGAACGAGATGGTTGGACAGTGTCATCAAAGCTACCACCATGAATTTGACCCAACTCCGGGAGGCAGTGTAAGATAGGAGAGCCTGGCGTCCATGGGGTCACGAAGAGTCAGACTTAACGACTAAACAACAACAACAAGGTCATAACTTGCGAAATCATTCATGTAAGAAGGTAATTTCTGCCAACACCCACCCATCTGCAGCCCCTCCTGAACCCGTACCCTCCCTCACACCCTTCTCAAAAGACAGGCAAGATCAGATTTCGAGGTACTGCACTCCATAGACTGAGGAAGTGGGTGGGTGGGAAAGCCCCATTACATGAACATGGTTCCATTCAGAGAAAAGAAACTGGCTTGGTTCTGACGGGGCAAAACATCAAAGGAAAACGACAACTAAAAATAATATGGAAGGTTGGAACACATCAAAATAATTGTGCACTTAATGTTACAGTAGTTGGAGATTGGGCAAGCAAGTAGCTGATACAGGAAATCCTGACCCCACCCATGGTATTTTGGTAGTATGGATAAAATCCAGGCAGCTTCGTCAAGAAAACCCACAAGATTATTTCCTGTGAGTCTCACTACACGCACAACAGCAATCTTTTGGGATCAGAGACACATTTCCTGGCTCATTGATGTGCTCAGACCCCAAAGGTTCCTGCTGGAGTATTAAAGGATCGTATGTGGTGTCAGGATCATCTGTCTACATTACAAACTTCATGTGAATTTCATACTCATTTAACTGGCATAGGTCCAAACACACAGTACCAGAAAAAGAAGATTCCCTCTTGCATCAATTTCCACTTTCCTTTTTAAGCCTAAGGTGGGAGGGAATGGTGGCAGGCCAAGGAAAAATATTCCCAGGCAGAGTTAAACTTAACTGCAATCAGCATTGTGTCAGCTTATTTATTTTCCCTAATTAACAAACTAACGTATATTTCTGCCTCTAGAGTTCCCCTGATTATATAGATGTCAACACTATATAGATGAGTAGCCACATTTCACTTCCAAGCTAATAGAGACTTTGCCACATGAGTCTGCAAGAGAGAGTGAGGGGAGCTTGCAGAACTGCCTGAGAAAGAGGAAACCATTGGGCTTCACATTTCATAATAACCCCTTCACTGAGATTTTTGAACAAGGTAAACAGTGGCCACAAACCTGTTGAGTAAATGATGCTTGTGTAAGTAAGGGTGACGATGTCACTGGTAGGGAGAGATTGGCAGCAAGTGAAGAGTCCTCGCTTCAACATTTGGTGGCCACTTCACTCGCCTACAGCTTACCTGCCGCCAGGCTCATTGCCAGAAAAGCAGGTGAGCCCAGGGATGGAAGCAGGAACTCTTTTAAGCAGGAAGTGAAACATATAGCTAACCGATATCATCTACATCAGTGACATACATTGCATGCAGTGATCATAGGGATTGTACAAGGCAGTGCTATAATTCTGGAGTCTTGCTGTAGGTCTTTGGGTCCCAGAATGTCTAAGTATCTAAAAAGCACTCCTCCAGGGTGAGAGTGAAAACTAGGCTGATGCTCTGGAGGAGCCTGACCGCCAAAAAGATGCAAGATGCGCTGCCCCAGAGGGTAGTCTTAATTGAGGCCCCATCTTCCCTAATTCTCTGCTGAAGGGGCTCACCATAGAGGAACTTGGAGACAACTTGATGAATGACACTGGGGTGTCTTTTATGGTCCCCATCAAAGTGGAAGAGGCCTGCCCCTTCACAATTGGCCAGTCACATACTAGCTTGTCACAGAGCACCCCCTTCCACACTCTCGCTTGTCCCGTACACAACGCCAGTCCCACAGGAAATGTCCACTGCATTGCCCCTTCTAACCTGGCTGCAGTGAAGAGCATGTCAGCGCATTTCCAGGCAAAAGATTTTAATTCTTGTCTTTAAAGACACATGAAAAATAAACTTCCCAAAGTTTTATATTTGATTTTTTTTTTGATGAATGTAAGAAAATGTGTCCTTTGCTTTCAAACTTCATTGTCTGCGGGGGCATGCCCACTGTTCACACCCCACCAACAAAGTTGAAACAACAACAGAGCAGAGATGCAGTTTTGTTAGCGCAATGTAGTTTAATTGGGTCAGCAGTGCAACACCTTGATTTGTGTGGAAATCCTTCTCACTGGAGGGTACATGCAAAGAGAGCTTAACTGACTGTCAGTAAAAAATTATCTTCTGATCTGCCTCCCATGCAGCTTTTCACTCTGAACATTTTCCATAGGCAGTTTCTGTTAGTCATTAAATGACTGAAACTTGTTTTTTAATTAGTTGCATTTAGAGTAGCACAAAAGAGGGATTCAGCTACTACACAATGGCCAATATGCTTAATGTACTAAATCATGCTAGAGTTAGGCCCCTTGCATCAGTTGGGGATTTAGTGAGTCAGCTCCTCCATAAGTTCCAGTTATTCAAATAGGCCTCCTCTAGTGTAAGGTGCAATGCTAAGCAACAGGGTTTCGGCCAATATCTAAAAACCAACACTTGGTGGAATTTTAAAGACTAACAAGTTTTATTTGGCATAAACTTTTGTGGGATTGCAAGCTGGCTGGATAGCTCAATGAGTTAGGTACGTACTGTATCTGGCTGCGGAGCCAGAGGTTGGCAGTTCGATTCCCCACTGTGCCTCCTGTGAAGCAGAGCCTGCCTGCGGGCCCTTGGGCAAGCTGCACAATCTCAGCGCACCCCCAGAAGAAGGGAATGATAAACCACTTCTGAGTATCCTCTGCCTGGAAAAGGGTTGCCAAAAGACAGAATTGACTTCACAGCACATGATGATTCTTCTTCATAGGATCGGAGCCCACTGCTCTAGGCCAGCTTGTCACCCCCTAGAGCAGTGGTCCCCAACTTTGGGCCTCCAGATGTTTTTGGACTTCAACTCCCAGAAATCCTGGCCAGCAGAAGTGGTGGTGAAGGCTTCTGGGAGTTGTAGTCCAAGAACATCTGGAGGCCCTAGGTTGGGAACCACAGCCCTAGAGAACTCTCCTAGAGGCAAGTAGGACTTGCATGTTGCATCACAGTGGGGGATGTGGGCTGGGCGGTGAGGAAGCAGAAAACTGCAGCTGTATCATTTCTGGCAACAGTTGTCTGAAATAAAGCAAATGCTTCTTTGGACTGTGACCTGCTAGTCATTCCTTCTTCTCACAATTGCTAATATCTTTCCTTTGCACTCTTATGGAAAATTTTAGCTGCATTTTTAGGGCAAGTTTGTAGGAAATGCATCTTTTAAATCTAATATCCAAATCCTTCAAAGAGGCTTACTTGTAAGGATTCATATGTCTTATTTAAAATAAGGATCTCATTTTCTTCCTGCTTGTCAAATGGTGGCAGGACAGAGACACTGATTCATTCAACTAATGCTCAGTGACCAAGACTTTAATTAAGCAACAGTTTTTAAGAGTATGGATGCTAAGATAACAGTATCTGATTCTCTGTGGTGCTAAGAGCAGGTTGTAAACCAGATCAGACCAGCAGGCAGGTACAGAAACACTGAGCAGAGAGGTTAACCATGTCAGCAGAGGAATTGAGTAAGCACATCCATATAGAAGTCATCCTTCATTTTCAAAGAAGTCAATTTCCATCAGATTTACCATTTTGGAAAAAAAGAGGAGAGCAGTTAAGGTTAAACACTAGCACCACTGATGGGCATGCATACGAGTATACAAGACATAGGAACAGTGGGGGCAGGTTAGCTGTTCCCGGATTCGTTGGACTATTGTATCCTGGCTTTCTCATTTCTCTCTTCCTTTGGGCATCTGTGATGCTTTTTATTTCAAAATTTTCAGCCCCTTGTTTCATAGTCTTTCACCAGACATTTCGGTTCTGAGCAAGAGCGTCCTAATTGACATGGTTAACATTAAATTCCTTCAAAATGGTCTTAGGTGTGTCCTTGAATTATTTCTTTTCTCCACCATGCCATCAACCACTTGCATAGTGCTCTCCGTAGACAAAATATGTTTTGGGGAGACAGTCTTTTGAAGGGTATCCAGAGCAGCTGACAACAGATCGCTAGCAAAACAGTAACAAAAGAGATTGACTCACTGTTTAGCATTATCTATATATATACGTAGGCCTTAGCAACCATGAGGCTAAGCTGGGAGCAGTCATATAGCAGTAATGGTTGTTGTGGGTTTTTCAGACTGTTTGGCTGTGTTTTGAAGGTTGTTCTTCCTAATGTTTCGCCAGTCTCTGTGGCCGGCATCTTCAGAGGACAAGAGTAGCACTCTGTGCTCTGGTGCAGTTTGTATGGGAGTTGAGTATTTATAGCTCTGGGATCAGCTTTTGTCCTTTTCAGGAGATGGGTGATTATGGTGATCAGTGTGTTTTTGTTGGTGTATTGTTGTGATAAGGAGGAGAGATTATTTGTCACTGTGATTGACGGGTGTCATTGCCTGGTCTTTTGTGTGTAGTGATCACCGGTCCTTGTAGCTGGGTAGAGTTCGTTGACCTTTTGCAGGCTGTATTGTTCAGTGCTGGGAGCATGAAAAAACCCACAACAACCATTAGATCCCGGCTGTGAAAGCCTTCACGCATATATATGTGACCCCACCCCAGACCAAAAGTCCAAAAAAAGCTGCTGGATCAGTGCATACCAATAATTAAGCAGCAGATATTTTGTAGACACGAAGAGGATTTATTTCAATTGGGATAGGGAAACAAGCACACAAGCCAGCAAGCGCCTTTGGGATAGCTCCCGTCACTTCCTGCAACTTCTTCACAGGGTTCATTAGCCCAATTCTAATCACTCTTATTGGGATACTTCGTGCTGTCCAGCCCCTCATGACCCATAACAGGGATGGTTTACATGCCTGTACCAAGAGCAATGGTAACAATCCCAAACTGCCTGTCAAACTGTCCTCCCTCAGTCAGGTGCTGGTGTTCTTGTTGCCTCTGACTCCTCCAGTGGCACAACTGTGTGGCTGTAGGTTCCCTGGGCTGTTGTCATCACCATCCTCTACAGAGCCAGTCGGATCAATTTTTACAAGCATTCCATGGTCCGTACTCACCACTCCCATCACATACTTATGAAACCATATAAGCAATATGTGGTGGAATGCCCCACGTCATGCCTGTCCATCATGGGGAGCTCAAGGGCAGGAGCCTATGAAAGGACAGGAGGGGCGGAAACAAAAGGACAGTTAGACAGTTAGAGGGAGAGTTGGAGAAAAAAGTGAGCAATGTTTCGCCAGTCTCTGTGGCCGGCAGAAAAAAGTGAGTTGGAGATAGGGAATTGAAGAGAGAGGGTTAGGAGATTGAATTGAGAAAGTTAAGACAGAGATTGGAAAGTTTGAATGCTAGAGTGTGAGGACAGGAGCCAGAGTGAGCTGTCCCCTCATGAATATAGCATAGTACAGGAGAGTAAAACCTTGGAGAGAGAAAAGGAAGGAGAAATTAAAGGAACAAAAGAACTAGCAGCAGAGACACGCGAGGAGAAAGAGGGAAGAGACAGCCACGCGGGAGAACTAGAAAGGTCTCGAGGAGAGAGAGAAGTCACGAGGGAAAAGCCATTAAGACCGTTAGAGACCGAGGCGAAGGAGACGATGTAAGATAAGTCAGGACAGGGAGTGAGTAGACGTTTTCTTGACAACCAAAATAGGAGAGACTTCTACCGAGACTGAGAAAGTGATTGTGTACCCAGAACAGGAGACAAAAGATATAGGGAAAACAGGACATGTTTTCTCAGTACCACGAAAGAGGGTTGCTGAAAGAGTAGAGGATCCAGGAGAGGGGACCTACTCTAAAGCGAGTTACCGCCCGATTATTCTGGGATTGAGTCCTATTGAATGGACCGTCGTAGTCTATCTCAGGATTTCCAGTTTGGAGGGACCAACACACACGGTGGTCCCGATGATGGTGACAGAGCAACCTGTAGGGGTAGAATGGGCTCGTCGTCACCCGTGTTGCGGGACACTGTGTGTGGGGTGCAATCAGCGTTTGAAGGAAGCAACCAAAACAGAATAAGAGAGAAAAACCTGTTGTTAAAAGAGGTTGATGAGAAATCTTTGTTATGGTTATGGGAGGAATCCCCTCCTCTATTTGTTGTTCAAGTGAAGTAAACAGAAAAGACTCAGTTGGTGTCAATAAATTCTTTTATTCAAAATTCTGCTTTATCGTTTTTGACCCAAGGACAGGAACAGCCGGATATGAACCCAGAACTTACTCACAATGGCGCCCAACCCGGGGCTGTTCCGAAATCTGTTAAAGAAAACAAACACAGTTTAAAGCAAACCATTGCAAGACAAGAAAAATTAATAAATTTATTAGCAGAACAACAAAGTATGATTTTAGCTCAAATGGCTAAGGGTACTGAAAGAAAGAATTCCAAAGAGGAAGATGTTTTTTAAAAAACCCTTGGATAGCTGGACCCACTCCAATTAGATTACAAAAGGTGACAGCGGAAGACGACCCAGAAGCTTACTTAAACACATTTGAGAGAGTAGCTGTGGCAGCCGGTTGGCCCAGAGAGCAGTGGATTTTAATACTGACACCCTGCCTGTCAGGAAATTTGCACTCTGGCCCCTGCTGAGTCATTACAGTACAACATGGTGAAGTCTACTATTTTACAAACTCTAAACTTGAATGAAGAGGCTTATAGGAAAAAATTTAGGAACTTGGAACTAAAACCAGGAATCCATCCTCGCACATTGGTTCAAAAGATGAAAGCTAACTTGGTGAGATGGATCAAACCTGAAGAAAAAAATAAGCAACAAATATTAGAAGAAATAGTCTTAGAACATCTAATTACTGCTCTTAACTCTGGTACTAGATCTTGGGTTCAGAGGAATCACCCACGTGATCTGGAAACTGCTCTACGATTGGTTGAGGACTACTGCACAGCAGAAGAAGGATATCATGAGAATAGTTGGGCAAGTCTCAACAAGATGCGTGGAAAGGAGAAGATGGCATCAGAGGGGAACACAGGAGCTGCCGCGCATGCGAATGTGACTACAAAGGAAGGCAAACCTGAAAAAGCTGAGTCTCATAGGTTTCCTGGGACTAAACATAGAATAATGGAGGTGTTTCCTAGTTGGAAGGAACTGAGAGAATTCAAAGGAACTTGTTTCTGTTGTGGGTCCGAGGGACACCAGAAAAAAAAAATTGCCTCAGCATCGACTGCTCATGGGTTAATCAATGGAACCAGGTGAAAAGAAAGAAAGGACTTAGTGAAAAACGGGAAGTTATCACACGAGTTAATGGGAAACCGAAAACTGCCTTAATTGACTCTGGGAGTGGGAAAACTCTGGTTAAAGAGGCTGAAGGGATGTAAAAAAAGGAAAGAATTAATGATAAGATGTATTCATGGTGATGTGAAAACTTCTAAAACTGCTTGTGTCACGACTGAAATTGGGAATGAGAAACGGAGAATGGAAGTGGGAATAGTTCCCAGCTTGACCAATGAGATGTTAATTGGGAGGGATTGGGAAGGTATTAACGAGTTCATAAATGCACAAGAAGTATTACAAAATGAATGTGAAAAAACAAATGTGGATGACTTTATTGTGGGAGTTTCTAGGGAAACGACACGACTTTGGCAGCAAGATGATGAGACTATTGAGGTTTTTTGAAAATGCTAAAGCAGATGGGACTTTTAAAAATGGAGAAGTAGGGTTTGAGTTATATGATGGATTATTGTATAGCTGTGGAGGGGACAAAACAACTGGTGGTCCCACAAAAATGGAGAGAAAAGGTTTTATATTTAGCTCATGATATACCTATGGCAGGACATTTGGCTGTACACAAGATGAGTGCAAGGGTCTTACAGAGGTTTTGGTGGCCGAATGTCTAGAAAGATATCGACAATTACTGTAAAACATGCAAGCAACGCCAACTGATGCAGTCTAAGCCTAATCCTGGAGCAGAATTGATACCAATGCCTTTAGTGGATGCTCCCTTCAAACAAATTGGGTTAGACATAGTGGGACCTTTGACAAAATCTGCTGGAGGACACAATTATATATTAGTTATTGTAGATTATGCTACTAGGTACCCAGAAGCAATACCTTTAAGGTCTACGACTGCTAAGAATTTAGCGAAAGAATTGATGCATGTTTTTTCCAGACTGGGATTTCTCGAAGAAGTAATTACCAACCAAGGGTCTAATTTTATGAGCCTAACTATGAAAGAAATGTGGAAATTGCTAGGCATGAAGCCCATCCATACTACGGTCTATCATCCCCAGACAAATGGATTAGTGGAGAGATTTAATAAAACACTAAAAAGTATGCTTAGAAAATTAGTTATAGATAAACCCAAACAATGGCATTTATTAATTGCTCCATTAATGTTTGTTATAAGGGAGGTACCTCAAGAATCCACCGGGTTTTCTCCTTTTGAGATGTTATATGGTAGAAACCCCAGAGGAATTTTGGATTTAGTAAAAGAGAAATGGGAATCTGGGAAAGATACATTGTAAATGCAAATTAAGCAAATTATAGAAATGAGAGAACACTTAAGACATATCTCCAAGGAAGCTAGGGAGCAATTAAAGAAAACAACATGGGCAGAAAAGATATGATAAATAGGTAGAAAAGAGAACATTTGAAGTTGGTGATAAAGTTTTATTATTATTACCATCTGAACAATCTAAACTTTTCGCTAGATGGCAGGGCCCTTACATGATAACTAGGAGAATCAATGAAGTGAATTATGAAATATATACTCACAATAAGAAGAAGGAAGTAGGGGTGTACCATGTTAATTTATTGAAGAAATAGAAAGAAAGAGAAGTCTTTTTAGGAGAGGTGGAAGACGTAAGTTTAGGGCTGGATGTTAGAAATTGTAATCTTCCTACGCAAGAGTTGCAACTGAGTGATGAATTGACTGTCTTTGAAAAAACTAAAATAAGGGAATTAGAGCAAGATTTTAAAGATGTTTTCTGTAATAAACCAGTTACAACTAATAGGGGCATACATTGTATTAACACGCTCCCAGGCAAGGTGGTTAGAGTAGGAAGCAGAAATTGGCCATTTCATCTAAGGAAAAAGATAAACAAAGAAGTGGATGAGATGCTGGCTTTGGGAGTAATTGAGCCCTCATATAGCCCTTGGAGAAATTACCCGGTGATGGTACCTAAATCGGATGGAAGCATCAGGCTATGCATAGATTTTAGAAGACTAAATGAGGTATCCAAATTTGATGCCTATCCTATCTCTCTCTAACACAGAAGGAAAAAAATAGGTCCCTTTTAAAATGAGGCTTGTCTATCTGAATCTGTGAGAAAACAGATAAACCATGCCTTCTAAGAGAGGGAAACGGTTAACAATGGAGGTATCAGATGTCCAAAGTTTACCTCACGAAGAGGAAAGCCCTCTTGAATTAGCTGAGCAAGATGATGATGCTCAGGAGGAGGATGCCTCAGGGAGAGAAAGATCCCTAGATTTTGTGAAACAGAAATTGGAGAAGGAGTTTAAATTAAAAGAATTACAGCTCAGAGCTGAGGCTGAAGCCAAACAGGCAGAGGCCAGAGAAAGGGAGATGGCCATGCAATAAGAAAGGAAACAACTAGAAATGAGGGGAAAAGAGATGGAATGGTCATTTTAAGAACCCAAATAAGTGGAGAACTTGCTGAAATATATTCCCAAATGCCCCAAGACCAAGCAAGAGAATATGAGGCTTTCAGAAAGATGATTTTCGCGAGGTTTGGAATTAAGAACCCAAATAAGTAGAGAACTTGCTGAAATATATTCCCAAATGCCCCAAGACCAAGCAAGAGAATATGAGGCTTTCAGAAAGATGATTTTCGCGAGGTTTGGAATTAAGAACCCAAATAAGTAGAGAACTTGCTGAAATATATTCCCAAATGCCCCAAGACCAAGCAAGAGAATATGAGGCTTTTAGAAAGCTGGTTTTTGCGAGGTTTGGAATTAAGAACCCAAATAAGTGGAGAACTTGCTGAAATATATTCCCAAATGCCCCAAGACCAAGCAAGAGAATATGAGGCTTTCAGAAAGATGATTTTCGCGAGGTTTGGAATTAAGAACCCAAATAAGTGGAGAACTTGCTGAAATATATTCCCAAATGCCCCAAGACCAAGCAAGAGAATATGAGGCTTTCAGAAAGATGATTTTCGCGAGGTTTGGAATTAAGAACCCAAATAAGTGGAGAACTTGCTGAAATATATTCCCAAGTGCCCCAAGACCAAGCAAGAGAATACGAGGCTTTTAGAAAGCTGGTTTTTGCGAGGTTTGGAATTAAGAACCCAAATAAGTGGAGAACTTGCTGAAATATATTCCCAAATGCCCCAAGACCAAGCAAGAGAATATGAGGCTTTCAGAAAGATGATTTTCGCGAGGTTTGGAATTAAGAACCCAAATAAGTGGAGAACTTGCTGAAATATATTCCCAAATGCCCCAAGACCAAGCAAGAGAATATGAGGCTTTCAGAAAGATGATTTTCGCGAGGTTTGGAATTAAGAACCCAAATAAGTGGAGAACTTGCTGAAATATATTCCCAAGTGCCCCAAGACCAAGCAAGAGAATACGAGGCTTTTAGAAAGCTGGTTTTTGCGAGGTTTGGAATTAAGAACCCAAATAAGTGGAGAACTTGCTGAAATATATTCCCAAGTGCCCCAAGACCAAGCAAGAGAATACGAGGCTTTTAGAAAGCTGGTTTTTGTGAGATTTGGAATTAATGCTGAACACCTCAGAAGAAAGTTCAGGGCATTGACAAAGAGACCTGAGGAATCATATTCCCATTTAGGAGCCAATATGGTCAGATACAGTGGTGCCTTGCTTGACGCTTACCCCGCATGATGTCAAAATTGCTTTACAATGAGTTTTTTGCAATCGCTATTGCTCAATTTCAGACATCCAAGAATAAAAGCTTTAGTCTACAGAAAGAAGGGGGAACTGTACCAAAGAAGGTTTACTATGTCCAACAGCAGAAAGAGAACTTTGAGGCAGTTCAAAATGGCGCTTTAACTAACAAAACAGAGTGTCAGGAGCAACTGCCACCTATAGCAGAGATTGTTCACTGCTACTATATTAAAAGCAACATGGAGTTGATACGTTGTTCTGGGGAAAATATTTATATTAATAACATTGAATATCTAGCATTGAGAAACTCTTGCTCTCAAATAACATGTCATACTGATATTATCCCACAGGAGGATATAATTCCAAGTAAGAAAATTACAGTAAAAGGAATTGGGACAGAATTGATTAATCTACCTGTGGCTAAAGTACATATAAAGTATAAAGAGTGGTTGCTGTGGGTTTTTTGGGCTCTTTGGCCGTGTTCTGAAGGTTGTTCTTCCTAATGTTTCAACCCTAGAACCATATTTTAATATGGTTAAAGAAGGACCAATAACCCCTGAGAACCCTGAGAGTTACTTTACGGAGAAAGGCCTATTATATAGAGAGGTCCTAGTAAATCCTCAGAGAGGAGGGGAAAACAGTCACAAACAACTAATAATCCCTACTAAGTACAGAAAACAAATTATAGAAAAGACACTTGTACTGCTCATTTAGGGATCACATGAACTAAGCAGAGAATAGCTCAACATTTTGACTGGCCTGGAATGGGGAAGCAGATAAAGTCATATTGGGAACGCTGTGACATATGGCAGAGGCAGGGTGCTGGCAATGACAACAATAAAGCAAAATTGTGCCCTGTACCAATTATATCAACGTCAATTCTACGCATAGGCATGTACAATGTAGGACCATTACCTAAAGTAACCATAAGGGGAATGTCACTCACTTCCAGATTAATGAAAAGGCTGTGGCAACTGTGTGACATAGCTCATACTATATCATCCCCATACTATACTCAGACAAATGGATTAGGGGAGAAATTTAATGGGACCCGAGTGTGAAGGATCAGAGCTTATACAGCAGAAGATCCCAATGCCTGGGATCACCAAATACAACCCTTGGTATATGCAGGCCTGTCTGTACCCCAGGAAAGCACCAAGTTCAGTCCTTTTGAAATGCTGTTGGGATGGAAAGTGCAGGGACCCTGGGATTTACACAGACAAAATTGGGAGAAACAACGGGAGAATACCCAGAGACAGTGATCCAGTACATGGATAATTTAAGGAAATGCTGGCAACAATCTCTAAAGTTAACCACAGAAAACTTGCAGAGCCAGCAAGGGAAGCCAAAGCTGGGGTTCGGTAAAAAGGCCAAAGACCGATTGTTTAGTCAGGGAGAGAAAGTCCTGAGACTGAGGTCTATAAAAAGGATGAAGATGCAAATAACCTGGACATATCTTGTTAGAATAAAATACAAGATGAATGAAATAAATTACATAATTCAGGAGGAAAGAGAGGAAGCCCAAAGAGTGATCCATGGGAACTCAATCAAGTTTAGAAAAGTCACAGTAGCATAGAGGGCTTGTGTTTAGGGAAAATAAACAAAGGACACTGGGTGGACGCGACACAATACATTTAGCATCACAATATATTTAAATATACCCAGGCATCACAGACTCAATCTAAGAAGTTGGGATGGTACTTATCTCATTTGCAATGCTAGTAGTAGTTTTAACCATCTACCAATGAGAGGTGAGGTGTTTACCTGTTCCACATACCTTAATATTTTACCTCTTCTTTTATTTTTGGATGTTCCCAGCCAGGTTGCTTGGTTGTTCTGGCATGTCCTTTTCTTTTTCTTTAACATTTGGGTTTCCCATTCAAATGCAAGCACATTTTTCAGTGGTTCCTTTTTACATATGCTCCTAGTGCAAAAGCAAGTATACTGCTTTACAATATTTATCATGTTTTCTTTATACTTGAAAGCAGTTATTAAAACAAGTAATACATATTGACAAACAATTAAATACATTATAAACTTTAAACAATGAACAATTAGTCATATTCTTTTATTTGAGTCTTCAGTCTAGCTAAGTGAGGAGTTCAGCAGTCCTAGAATGCAAAAAGCATATCTTGAAATAATTTCTATAAAAGTAATTTCTCTAAAATATTAAATGTTTGGTATGTTGTAACAAACTTATCTCCCCCCCCCGGTTACTCTTATAATCCTTAATCTGTGTGCAAGTTTTTCAGACAATGCTATTACCCATAACAGGCCCAATCACATTTTGATTTTAAGGTCTTTCCAATATTTTGCTACTATAAGGAGTGCTACTACCAACAAAAATGAGATTAGTTGTCTATGAATTAATTTTTTTTGAGGACCCTGTAAGGCTGACTGTAATGATAGTTCACCTCTAAAGTTGGTTTTTATTCCTGTTACTTTTTCCATTACGGTTACCACCTTTCCACATAACTCATTAACTTTTGGGAATTCTAGCCCCATATGAAAGTATACTCCTTTGACTTCACTTCTTCCATCCCATTGGTGATATACTGTGTTTTCCCAAAAATAAGACAGGGTCTTACATTAATTTTTGCTCCAAAAATACATTAGGGCTTATTTTCAGGTGAAGTTTTTTTTTTTGTGTGTGTGTGTACAACCATCTACATTTATATAGATTCAAATACATCCATTTTATCTTCTTTTGGTTGCTGCATAATGGTGGAGGGCACGGTTTCACTTAACTGGGGCTTATTTTTGAGGTATGGCTTATATTAAGAGCATCCTGAAGAATCATACTAGGTCTTGTTTTCAGGTTAGGTATTATTTTCGGGGAAACAGGGTATTATTACTGCACAAAAATACCGGTAACTTATTAGGACTTAAGCGCCATCTCTGTATGATTTCTCATTTCTTTAACTTTTGCTGAAATTGATGCATGGGTGGGTTTACCAGCAAGTATCCCTCTGATCAGAAGGAGATCTGTCCCATGGTTTGATTCATGTGTGATTGCTTGGATCGAACCAAAGTGGGTGGCTTAAACTGTCACTTAGCTTAAACTGCTTCACGGTCTTGGGAAGTTGAAAGCTTCTTCCTGCTCATGGAGGGGGAGAGAGAAGAGGATATTTTTTTAAAGCCCTTGTAAGGACGTACTGGTTCAGCAAGCTGATTAAGTGAGCATTTAGCTCTAGTGTTTTCTTAGCTTACTGTGTGTCCAACTTTTTGCCTCCTGAGTTGTGCTGTTGTTTGAGTTTCTGTATTTGTGTTATGAGTTCTTTCTTGGTTCCTTCTTTTCGTCTTTTAGATCTTGCTCCTTCCTGTATGAAAGTGCTTCTCAATGCTGCTTTCATAATTTCTTCCAGTAATACTTTTGTAATGTTTTGGGTGGAGTTTCCGTTATAACATTGATTATAATTTTAGATTTTCTCTATAAATTCTTGGCAGGCCATAAAGTTGGCATTTAGTCTCCATTTGTGTCTGTGGATTTGAGGAGCAATCTCTCATTTTATCACTAGAGGAGCATGATCAGTTACTGTATTGTCATCCTTCATTTTCAGATGGGCATTTAACTCACTATTTCCTGCACTGCAGGGATGGGCTGATTCACTTTTCCCAGAGATCATACAGAGCAAACCAGCCCATCCCCAGGACGTTGCTACTTACAGCTGTTGGAATGAATACTGTACAGTACTTCTGAAAATGCCAAACTTGGTAAAACAGAATGATGGGTTAATTTCCCTATTTAGTAAGGGCCCTGAGAGGATGTGGTAAGTTTTGAAATTTCATTGTGCTATTATTTAAAATTTACCAAAATTATTTTAGTTTCAGTTTTATGGGATCCTTTCTGCACAAGAATTCATTAAAATCTCTTTATGTCCCCAGACTGAGACTGGTTTCTTGGCTCTTTGGCCCACTATTTACTATGCATCTGTCTGTTTATGTACACACATATATAAAACACTAGTTTTTAAGACTCCGCATTTTCCTTTAAAGGGGAAAAAAGGTTAGCTCTATAGCGAGAACAAAGAAAATTCTCCAGAAGACCTAACTTCTGTGATGTTAACAGCATTTAAAAAAAAGCCCATTAAAACCCCAGCAACTAATCTTCGTACCAAGTTTCGCCAGAGCCGGAAGATACTGCGGGACAAAGCAAGTAAGGACAGAGAGGAGGGCCTTGAAGTGGCTGAGCGGGTCCCTCCAAAGCTCCCAAACTTCCTATTGGGCTGATCCCATGTCACTCCACGGCGGAAGGCTCAATGGGTGCGTTACAGGGAGCACCCTAGGACTTTTTGGCCCCGCCCGCCATCCTTAGCCCTGTTGCGTGGGATGAAAACTTTCTGGCGGCCTCACTGGCTGGAGGGAAATTAAAAAAAAAAAAAGCTCAAGATGGCGGAAAATTTAAAAGGTGAGTGAAAATGCTAAGCGCGCGCGCCGGAGTCGTCGCACGAAGCGGGGCGGTGAGGGACCTAGAGTGGCGCGCGAGAGATCGCGCGAGCCGCAGCTGTTGTGGAGAGTCGGTCGAGCGGGTACCGCGAGGGCTCAGTTCGCAGCCGCAGCCGCTTGCTTAGCGGCTCGAGGAGAAAAAAGACCGTCAGCGGCGACCGTTACGGGGTGGAGGACGGAGCGCGCCGGCGTAACGTGGCGTGGCCGCCGGCAGCCCTGCGCTGAAGAGCGGGAAAGAAATGACCGGGGGTTGGGGGGACGTGGTTGTGGATGAGGAGAGGATCTTGAGGGAAACGTGGAAGGGCTCACCTCAGGGGTAAAACTAACCTCCTCCGCCGCCCCCGATAATAAAACGTTGCCTCAGCTCCAGGGACTGTTGCGTTGCGTCCATGACAGTTGCATCTTTCGTTTGCAAAGGGACCTCACTTTTTGGCGTCTCATTTATTGCTCCCTTCCTGCCAGCTTTCCCTTTTTTGGTCAGGCCCCTCTGTAATTTCGCCATCTGTTAGCTTCTGTGGGCCCCATGCAAAACCTTGTCGTACTTTCAGGAGCAGCTAGCTTACTGGGAACAAACTTCACAGCTTGTCCTTCCTCGCAGAATAGTTTTTTCCGAGGCCAGTAATTGCCATCCGGACTCTTGGCCTGTCAGTCACCTGATGTAGCCTGTGGGGAAGCTGTCTCAAATATGGCTTAGTTTATTAATTTTAAGCTGTATTTTTACCTGCTTTTCATTTGAAAGTTTCCAAGCTATTTTCTTTCTTTTTTTGAAAAAGAAAGCCCAGATCCTCTAAAGATGTAAGGTGTGCAGATATATGGTACTAGGGCCTGTCACCTTTGATTCCGATAAAATTATGAATGCATAATCTTGGAGGAACACTCATGGGCACCAAGGTCTGCCATGGAAAAGGAAGGAGCTTGTGGCCTCTTCATCTAGAGATAGTTGCTCTAGATTTTTAAATAACTATAGCAACATTTGTATTTAGTGTTTTCAGTTGGAAAAAAACAGTTAACTTTAAGAAAACAAAAGTTCTAAGTTGTTCCTCTAAGTTGTCTCTCCTAATAAAATCATACATAGTCCACTATTTTGATAATCTGAGTAATCAATGATAAACTTTTAAATCAAATATGTACAGGTATTTGGTATGTGTGTGCGTTATGTGCTATCAAATCTTTTCTAACTTAGGGAAGTCCTATGAACCAATGACTTCCCAAAAGTCCATTAATTGACAGACCTGCTCAACTCTTGCAGATGGAGAACTATGGCTTATTTTATGGAGTAAATTAATATTACATTGTCTACTCTTTTCCTACTACCTTCAATGTTTCCTAATACTATTGTCTCTCCCAATGAGTCAGCCCTTACATATTTTCTTAACTTAAAAATGCCATCCTTTTTCACACCCTCACCCCACCATTCCTTTCCCACTTTTAGCACTAGGTGGCCAATGACCATGAAACATCTCACAAAATCCCTAAAGTATGATAGTTTCTGTTAATAATTTCAGTTGTTACTGAGACTTCAGGCTTGATTTGGTCTAATGAATGCTGAGCATTTACTTTTTGATCTGAACTAATTTGACAATGCATCTAAGGGGATGCATATAAGGGGAGGTAAGTGAGTTTAAGTGTCCATATATTTTAGTTCAGTGTGCTTATCGCAGCCATTTCTTCAGAGTAATGCTTATACAAGTTTATAATAGCTCATTATTTGAATTAATTATTTAAAAATGAAGATCTTGGAAAAGTTGCTTCATTGGATTATAGAACTTTCCCAAGGTCTCCAATTGTCATTGTCCTCACAATTTATTTATATTTTATTATAATTTACAGCCAGTTTGAGAGTCGGATGTAAGGGTGTGCTAATCACAAATTATAATTCCCAGATGACTTTTCCTTCACATGCACTTCTAACCTTCAGCCCAGTGCTACCAACATTAAAAGACAGAAGAATGAGGATTTTGTATGTGAAAGGCAAACTGAATAAACTAGTTTCCTAAAGACTTTCCTATTTTTTTAACCACCAATGCACTTAGGATTTCGCTGTCCAAGCCTCAAAATGCTGAATTCAGAATTCAGTAAAATCCATTGAAATTACAAGAACATACAAAGCTATCTTATGAAAGTCAGACCATTGGTTCATCTTGCTAAATTCTGATTACTGACCAGCAGTAGGTCTTCAGGATCTCGAATAGCTTGACCCTGAGTTGCTTTGAGGCCAAGTCTTTTTGCATTTAGAAACTTTTCATTTGTGGTTGGTTGTTTTTTACCCTGGCTTTCTGTTCCCTTTAATTCTGTTTACTGTGTAATGCCTTTACCTTCAAACTGTAAGCCTTAGAATAAGATTTGTGCTGTTTCTAATTTTGTGCATTGCCTAGCAATTTTAGGTGCCTTATAAGAATCATTGAGAATGAATTATAAACAAGGTGAAGCTGTGGACTTGAAACAGGGCATAACCAAGCTATAGATGTGAAAGCAAAACAATGTGGTGGGGTTTATGTTTGAGTACATGGCTGATAACTGAAATGAAAAAAGCGGTAGAAAAGAAAATATGAATGTATACTAGTGTCTTTTGAAATTCCTTACACAGGCTTTTTCTGAGAGCTATTCCTGCTCATCCTTATAGCAAACTTCAGAAATATGTGTCAGAGTCAATATTCTGTCATTTCTCCTTTTTAGTGATTATAGATGCAGTGCTTAAGGAGGGTCAGTCAGACAAACAAACTACTATGACATTTAAAGCAGAATAGCTGTATTTCTTCTAAACACATGTACTTTTCATTGTTTCTTAGCCTGCCATGTTTGCTGCAAGTCTACTTGGCCCCAGCTCCAGGATTTATGTCGTTTGGAAAAGCTTTGCTGCCCTCCCTTGGGCATTACCAGAAAAAACCTGTTTGATTTTGAAGTGGAATATCTGTGTGACTACAGGAGAGTCCGAGTGAGTTTCTGAGGTCTTCTCATAATGTTAATATCATTACCTTTAATATGATCTTCCATTTATCTGTTTTTCTCTTGTCTGCTAAAAGGAAAAACCAAGGATGGAAAGGCACATTGGATTTACCATGATACATTCATGGGTAATTTCTGATGGGCAGGAACTAAATAGCAAATCAGAGGTCTCCAGGGCTTTGTCAAGAGGACAAGCTAACCCTGAAGAGACAGTTTCTTGTCTGCTGTATGAATTTAAAGATAAGATAGGAACTCAGAATCCAGAAAGTAGTATCTGACAAAAGTTGATTTAGACTTCAGAGGGTGCACTAATACTGAATACCAAGAGGTGGCTGTGTTCCTAGTAGAAAGACAGATATGCTTTGAGGTAGTCTTGAACCAAATATCTGGTAACATTCTGCAATGCATGCCTTTAGCCATCTTGCTAGTGTGAATTTGAGAACTTTTTCTACCCATTGTAGAAGAGGCACGGGTGACTAAAATGAAGCTTCATGCATCCTACTGAGAACCAAATAGGAATAGTTCTCATTTGGCTCTTTCTGAAATGCTTCCCCATCCTTTGTAGCTCATGCACACGAAAGTAAGACTGTAACAACTGATCAACCTGTATGAGGTTTTTTACAGCCACTTGCAAATCCTCCATAGTCTTAGGCAAAAGCAAATAAAGATTTTGGGCAATATCAGAACAGTTCTTACCATGAAGGAGCTTCCTGTTCAATTTTGCCAGTATGTTAGATAGTGCTGGAAAGGTTGCTTCACTGAAGTATGACTTGGCTTTAGGAAACACAGCAGTCCTGTAAACCAAAGCTTCAGTTGCTGACTGTGGAGATGATTTTGCTGACTGCTTCAGCTGTAGGCTGGCAATTGCCTTAGATAGCAGAGGAAGAAAATCATCAATGTTAAAAAAGCAAATACAAGCAGACTTCTTGTTGTTCTGTACCTGACCACTATTCCTCCTTTAAGTCAGACCATGCAGTGGAAAATGGATAGATACTGTGTCGGGATCAGTGTCTATGGTCTTCTAGCAACAAAAGAGCAACATTCAGAAAGTATCAAAAGGAGCCTTAGTGGATGAGGCTGTGGGATATGCTAAAGAAACATTAGAAGGCAGCTGAAGAGAGGCAGGCTGGACAGCAGGTGACACCACTATGTACTTATACCCTGCTGCATTTTGTTATGTAGGCTTTGTTGTGGCTTGATTTGCGCCAAAGTTTGGTGTGATGAAGATTCAATGGGACTTTAACTGAAAATAATAAACTTTCCTTCCAATTACTCAGCAGGTAAAAATGGTTCTGGCAGGGACCTACAGAGTACATTGAACTACAGTCTCCCCTAGTAAACCACCCCTTATTTGTTAGTTTACCTTAGTTGGTACAGTACTTATTGTTTCGATACATTCACTTGGAGACTTTGATAAATAAGAAAGAATTCTGTTTATTCACAGATCTTATATAAAAACAAACATATTTTATGGAAATGTTAATCTTTTACATCATTAAGTTTAACTGATTAATTTACTTCATTGTTAATTAACTGGTTAAATTCCAGACAGAACACTTCACTCTAACTGCTCATTTCTTTCTCCATAACACACACGCTCTAAGAAGCTGGGGAAAAGAATCTGAGATATAGAGGGAACAATTGGCTGCCACCGAGCTGACTGACAAAAAGGCATCATATAAGGGTGCAGGCTTTGTATGACAGACTTGGTCCCTCAAGGCTTTTTGGAGGGAGGGAGAAGAGGATCCTGTTTGCCAGGAGGTCTGTTGCAGCAGCCTTGACATGGTAAATGAAAGATTCCACATCAGACATACGTAGAGGCACAGGCATTGGAAACACAGAAGTGGAGAGAACAGGGGTGAATGGAAGGAAAAGTCAGGAAAGGAGGGAAAATAATTGGTGAGTTGATGTGGAGGGAGAAAATAGCTGCCTGTCTGCCTGCTGTGAGGTGGATTGGAGAAAGTGCCCCTTGGCTGTTTTAGAGGTAGCACTGTGAGAAACACAAGACTTTGAAATGTTGGAGTACTGTAGTTGGTTGCAGATGGTCAACAGTTGCCTGAGATTCTGTGTCCATTATATATTCTCTGTACCTGAAGGGGGCCATGGAAACTCTTGAGAGACTCAACATCTTTCTGGTGGTGCTCTCATGCAGGACTTATCAAGAGAATATCTTTTCCCAGCTGCAACCTTTCTCTTGTCTTGCCTTGACTCAGATTGGCAGGATCTGAGATAAGAATTTCCCTAAGCAAGTAGATTTCTTGGAGAGCTCTGACCTAGGCAACATTCTCTGCCTCAGATGTAGTCTGGGTCTGGTAGAGATAGGTGGTTTTCAGCAGAGAGGTCCAGAAATAAAGCAGAAAAAAGTTTTTTATTTTTATTTTTTATTTTGAGAAGGGGAGTTGAAACATGATTGAAGTGTACCTATTGAAGCTGAGGCATGAACTTAAACACTCGCCATGTCCTCTTCAGAGAGTTATGGAGAGCTCTGATAGGTTATTCAGTTTTTTCCTATCAGAAACAAGTAGGAAGGCAAACCCATATATTTGGGATATCCTTCTCCACTATAGGAAATCTGGTTTTCAGTTGACAGAGTTGGTGAATGTTTTAAAGAAATTCTTTAATTATCCATATTTCAAATCAATATACACAAGCATTTCATAACAGTACAGTAGTGTAAACAGTCTTGTAGCTACAGCACATATCTAGAATAACGCATTGCTTGAGAAGTTTTAGTACTATTTTGCGTTTATAATATAACCCACCAAAATTTCAAGCACTGTCATTTTGGGTTGAATTCTCCTGTGGATTGACAGAATTTGTGATTTGAGATTTTTCATTAGCTGACCTTTTCCTCCTCTTTTTGCTTTAGATTTACAGTATTTCTTTTAGTCATATTTTAATTTATTAAACCCTCTTTCCTTTGGAAGCAATTGTACTATAGAGTTGCTCCTGTTAGAATGGGAAGTTGCAGATTTGCAAAATTCCACATGAGATTCCTCTGTTTTGTCACAGGCTTGGGGTTTTAGCGGACAAGAGGAAAAGAGTTGAAGGGGAGATGGTACCTTCTGGGTGTGTTTATTGTTTTGGGAAGGGAATTGGCATGTTTCAGGATGACTGTGCATGATTACCTTTTACTTAGGATGAGGAGTACTACCTGGTGAAGTGGCGGGGCTACCCGGAATCAGAGAACACCTGGGAGCCCAGAAAGAACCTTCGCTGTATCAGTATACTGAAACAGTTCCATTGGGACCTAGAGCAGGCTTTGATCCGGCGAGGAGGCAAGCTCAGAAAAAATATGCGCTTGCTCGACCAAAGCATCTCTAACTACTTGGTGCAGAAAGCCAAACAGCGGAAGGCCTTGCAACAGTGGGAGGATGAACTTAATGCCAAACGCAACCACAAGGGACGCATCGTGGTAGAAAACGAGGTGGACTTGGATGGGCCTCCCCGGGATTTTGTCTACATTAATGAATACAAGGTTGGGGAAGGCATTACTCTCAACCAGGTGGCTGTGGGCTGTGAGTGCTCAGACTGTCTGTCAGAAGCAGTGGGAGGTTGCTGTCCTGGTGCCTCACGCCACAAATTTGCCTATAATGAGCTGGGCCAAGTGAAAATCAAGGCTGGCTTGCCCATCTACGAGTGCAATTTTCGCTGCAGCTGTGGGATGGACTGCCCCAACCGCGTGGTACAGAAAGGCATTCGTTACGACCTTTGCATTTTCCGAACATCTAATGGACGTGGCTGGGGTGTGCGCACCCTGGAGAAGATCCGCAAGAACAGCTTTGTCATGGAATATGTGGGAGAGGTAGGACAAGCAGATATGATCCAGGAGTTTAGTTGTGATCCGAGCTGCAGAAAGAAGGAAAGGTTAAAGTTGGGTGACCTACTCCAGAGTTATAGGAGTTGAAATAGTAATGGCAACCCTCTAAGTGACATGCTCCAGCACTTAGGTTGCATTTTTTTGAGGCTTATGGAAAAGACTAAATTGCTAAATAAATTGAAACCTTTTATGCTGCAGTCATATGTTTGCTATACCCATTCAATTGAGTGGGATTTGTTTTTTGAATCAGCATATATAAGGTGGTACTGTATATTTATTTGTCACTATGTACCCTGCCTTTCAACCTAAGTCCTCAAAGTGCTCATATTATCAATTAAAGATGGTGAATACATAAAATCCATAAATGTCTTGGATTATATAACTAACGTTAACTAATAACATTTAAAGTTACTACTTGTTGGCTCACCATAAACCCTGACACTATAAGTGAATTTTCCTATATGCTTTTCTGTCCCACCCAGCTCTGACTTAACCTCTCTTTCTTGTTGACTATGATAGATTATAACTGCTTTGAATGCTCCTGTCAATCACAAGCAGCATTCTAAAAGGGATAGGAGCTTTATATGTATCAGTTTATGTGGGCATAATGAAATTGATTTGTAGCCTAAGTGAGGCAAAGTCTAATCTAAGATGAAGAAATCATATATAGTCAGTTGAGCCCAAAGCTTTAATGTAAGATTAGCAAGCTAGTGCAGTTGTGACTGCAGATGTTATCCAGGCTCTGCTTTTGTTTTGGACCCAACAGCTAGAAGGAAATCCTTTGAATTCAGGACCAAAGTAATCAGGAAAAGGTGTCTGAATTTTAGTGGTGCAAATAATTAGATAGCTCCAGAAATGAAGTTATTATGCAGATCATGTGGCTGATAGTGTGTATCCCAGACATTCATCTGGTGAAGCAACCAGTCAACTTACTTTCTTATTCTTCTGAACTTTGTGTCATACTGTTGTTGTTCAGTCTAGAAACTGTTGTATCTCAGTCTCAAGTAAGAGTTCTTTTTCCATTATCAGGTTTGTACAGTTTTTCATTTTTGTAGAAATTAGAATATGATAGCTTTTCTATCATAGTATCAAACACTAGATGAAGAATCTGTTTTCTGTGAATTTATAGACTGTATGAGCCACTGTGATTAACTAACGTGATAGCTAAAGACAGCAATTAATTGCAAAGATAAGTGCAAAAGGGTATAGAAAACATAGTGCTAGAAGAAGATCATTAGGAAGAGAAAAAGCAGCCAGAATTACAGGAATACCTGGAGGGACCGTCCACAACAGACAACCAGCAAGGAACAGCCCCCTGTCTACAGTATTCATCATTGTCCACTTCTCTTGCAGATCATCACATCAGAGGAAGCCGAACGACGGGGTCAGGTATATGACCGGCAGGGTGCCACTTACTTGTTTGACCTGGACTATGTAGAAGATGTATACACGGTGGATGCTGCCTATTATGGGAACATTTCACATTTTGTTAATCACAGTGTAAGTGTATGGCAAGAGAGAAATGTATTCTCACCTTAACTGTTAAGGTAAACATTTGTTTTATTTGCGTCTGAACCCTATTATTTTCTTCTTCCAGTGCAACCCTAACCTACAGGTGTACAATGTCTTCATTGAAAATCTGGATGAGCGTCTGCCCCGCATTGCCTTCTTTGCGACTCGATCTATTCGTGTTGGTGAGGAACTTACCTTTGATTACAACATGCAAGGTGAGTTAAGGAGAGCTGGAGAAATTGAGGAGTGTGCGATGTGATATAATTAAGACTGAAGATTTTGTTTTGAACATTTTTTTCTGATTAGATCCCATCTTTGACTGAGAATAGTTGCTATCTTATCTGTATGCTAACTCCAATGTATTCTTTTTGAGTATCTTAATTAGCAGTTAATGGAACTGTGGCAGGTTTAGCGTTTGGGGCCAGTAAGTACCCTTATGGTCAGTGGAGAGAGCGGAATGATAATTATTAGCAAGTATAATTTGACGTTTTGCGTGCTACAAAATCAGATTTCCGCATCAAATTCTGATTCCCCTACCCCTAAATACGTTGAATTAATAAATAATAAATATATTTCTTCCACAGTGGATCCAGTAAATGCAGAAAGCACAAAGATGGACTCTAATTTTGTTATAGCAGGAAGTCTAGCTGGTTCACCGAAGAAGCGGATGCGCATTGAGTGTAAATGTGGCACAGAATCATGCCGGAAATACCTCTTCTAGTTACTTGCCAGTTTTATTTGGGAAGTGTCTGGTCAGTTTTGGACTGGAAATATCAAAGGACAACCTGTCTGTCTGTTGCTGAAAATTGCCAACAAAGGGGTAGGAGTCAGGAACTTACCTGCTTGAAAAGCAAATTATCAGGACTATGAACAGTAAAGAGGGCAATAATTCACATCATGGGCTACCTAGCTCTACAGTGCTTCTTATTGCTAGACCAGATAATTCATATGGCATCTGTCGGAGTTTTGGTAGGTGGATGGTTTGACTTATCAGACTTGCTGCTGAGATGCTGGCTGGAAAAAGTGACATGGAACAGAATTCCCATCATACACCTGTGCATGTCTTATCACAAAGTGTTGTAGCGTCTTACTATTTTAAAGGCTCGATTGTTAACAGGGCAGGGGGGAATGGCTCATTCTTTTTTTTCTTCTGTGTGATTTTCTAGGGGATAGAAGTCTTCGTTTTTAATAAGCACTTCCCTAGTGGCCTTATGCATAGGCAAGAAACACAGCTACTTTCTTTAATAGATTTGCTTGACACAGACTCTTTGTATTACCTCAACATGCCATATGACTGTTACCATCTGTATATAGTCACAGAACCTTTTTAATGGAGGTGGGCTACAGAATTTTTACTTGAACACGCACTTAATACTACTCATGGATTTTAAGCCCTATGCAAAGAGAAAAGCCACAATGTTGCCTTTAAAAAATAATGGATTTTTAAAAAAGACAATGTTTTTAAGAATACATTTTGGGGAGAGGGTTAGGGCAACGAATCTAGTTTCTTGAATCTGTTATTAAGTTGTCAAATTATGACTGATGACTGAATTACTGTAGATGATTGGATTTCTTATTATATTTGAGATATATTTTATACCTGTTCTTTAAAAAAAACAAAGAAAAACATGAACTGACATCAGTGGTGTAATTCTGTGTGGAGAGGAGGAATAAAAAATTGAAAAGATTTAGGAAAGTCATTTTAGAGCTCCAGATCAGTTTAAGAGGTGTTAGCAACTGTGGATCTCACTAGATCTTGGTCTAAGGGCACATCAGAATCTTATATAGCTGTAGTTTTTGCTTCTTCCTCCCCCCCCCACCCCTTTTTGCAAGGCTCACATTGGATTACAATGTCTTCATAGTAATTGTAGAGGATATACAGAAGTTCTAATGTCAGTTAATAGTAAGAACATCAATTTCCTTTCTAATTATCATAACACATTTCATTACCTGTATAAATTGCAACATTTCTTTAAGGAGTTACAATTTCCCCCTTACATTTACGCCCTGTAGTAAAAACCTGATAAGCAACCCTTCCCATAAGACTAATTTTGTAGTTAAAACTGGAGTATCTCAAGGTACAACTTCTCTAATGGGGATAAGGATATTATGTCTGACTACTGTACTAAATTTTAAAAAACCTAGTTTATGGCAGTTGGGGACATCAGTTTAGTGTTTCAGCATTTCTATTCGGTGTGAAATAGCTGAAAGGAAAAGTTTGGTTCTACTGTCTTCTCTCAGTATCAGGAAATTGACTCTAGCCCCTACATACATGTGAGATATTACCAAGACAGTAGCAGAAAGAATAGCACTCAGTTGCCCTTTTGTTTTCAAGGCTGAAAACACTTTCAGTGCCACCCAGTCTTGTTATTCTCTTAGTAAAAGGCAGCAACTTTGCTTCCACAATATGAAAGCTGCTCAGGTTGCTGCCTGCTAATGATGGCACTTTTGTTCCTTAGCATGTTGCTCTTTCATTTCATGTGTAACAGTGGCATGCTTAGCAAAAAGAGCAACCCGTTGTCCCATCATTTCATTTCCAACAGATACTAGATTTCTGTTTGTCAAGGTACTATAGTATTCTATAGAAAGAGTTACCTAGAAAAGTTGTGATGCCTTCAATCAGCTCTCCCAGAGAAATGAAGCAATGGCAAGAGCCAAGCCTTCTAACTCTTTTGGTACAATTCTTTTCACAAGATTAGCAAAAGCTTTCATTACAGGTCCATGTCAAATAAATCCATGTTTACAAACACATACATTATTTTAACATATTAAAAAGAGGCCCCACGCTTTTTGGCCCATCTGGGCAATTTACTTCCTTCTTATGATCTGAAATTAATTCTGGCAGGTAGTTTTAAGTCCTCAACAGTGGTGCCTTGCTTGACGACGTTAATTCATTCCAGCAAAATTGCTGTAGAGTGAAAACGTCGTCAAACGAAATTAAAAAAAACCATTGAAACGCATTGAAAACCATTCAATGCGTTCCAATGGGCTGAATACCTACTCGACCAGCGAAGATCCTCCATATGGCGGCCATTTTCGGTGCCTGTAAAGCGAGGAATCCGTCCTAGAAAAAAGGGGAGACGACGTTAATTCATTCCAGCAAAATTGCTGTAGAGTGAAAACGTCGTCAAACGAAATTAAAAAAAACCATTGAAACGCATTGAAAACCATTCAATGCGTTCCAATGGGCTGAATACCTACTCGACCAGCGAAGATCCTCCATATGGCGGCCATTTTCGGTGCCTGTAAAGCGAGGAATCCGTCCTAGAAAACAGCGGAGGGCCATTTTCTTCACCTGGCGGCTATTTTGAAACCCGACGATCAGCTGTTTGCTGATCGTCGTAAAGCAAAAATCGGTCCCCGAAGCAGGGAACTGTTCATTGCTTCGGTTCCCGAAGCAGGGAAATGATCATTGCTAAGTGAAAAAAAAAAACCATTTAAAACATCGTTTTGCAATCGCAAAAGTGTCAACATAAAGCGGATACTTAAAACATCGTTTTGCAATCGCAAAAGCAGTCACAAAAGCATCAACATAAAGCAGATACATCATTATACGAGATAATCGTTAAGCGGGGCATGACTATTATCCTAGATTTTGGTCTAAGACTACAGCTGGATCATACATGACTGCAATTTTCACTCCCCTTCAACATTACCTCAAAGCTGTACAGCCATGCAGCTGAGCCACAATTGCCACTGATTTGCTTCTGGTTGCAGCCAGGGCCCTGAGCACATGGGGTAGTGCTCCCCATACTAGTGGAAAATTAGAAGGAACATTGCTCCCCCTTTTGTTTTTTCCTAGCTTCCAATTCTCAGATTATAATGCCTTTAATATACAACTCTGATGCAACTCACATAGGAAGAAAATACAGTTCTGGCTGTCACTTTTCAGAAACTATACTATAGAGCTGGAGAAGATGTAAAAAATGACAATCAATATGATTCAAGGCTAGAGCACCTCTCCTGCTAAGGCAAAGACCACAACATTTGGGCCTTTTTAATTTTGGGGAAACAGCTTGAAAGTGGGAAGTATGACTGACACAAAACCATACATAATGAAAAAAGTTTCTTCCTCCTAACGTGAAAATCTAAGGGCATCTAAGTAAGTGATTGACAAGAGATTCCAGGCAGAAAGAGAAGAAATACTTTTTCAAAAACCAAAGGTGAGTGCTTGAACACTAGAGGCATTCAACAGAAAATTGAACAACCATCTGTCAGATCTGTTTTGACTTGGATTTCCTGCACTAAGCAGTTGGTTGGACTCGATGGCTTTATAGACCCCTTCCAACTCTATTCTATGATTCTAAACTTCCCAAAAGCATTTGATTGGCCATTGCTGTGAAAACAGCATGATGAACTAGAGATGTCCTTGAGCTGATTCAGTAAGGCTTTGAATGTTCTTGAAATAAATTGCAGAGTTATGTGTGTTTGTGTATGTACACTAAATCAATCACACACAATGAACTATATTGCAGAGCTTTCACAAAAAAGTGTGAGATATTAGATATCCTTTATTTTTTAAAAATGGGATAAGACAAGATGCAGTAATGGTTCATGAGGACTACAGCCATGTTATTTGTTAGCACAGCATTCAGAGTTTGACTTTTGCTTAAATATATCTGGCTGTGAGAAGCCTCTGTTTGATGTCCCCGTGCCTTTTTAAATTCAGTCCCTGTCTCTTTTGCAGCAGTGCTATAAAACTACAGCACTCTAGATTTAGTAGTACTTGAACTCCAGTTCTTGTCGTTCCCATTCACAAGGCCTGTCAAAGAGGGTGGCACTGGCATCTCAACAGCAGTAGTGCTATATGTTCTCAGTTATTGTTTTCGGGAATATCCTAATTCTTTGTCCTTTACCTAATGTGAATATTCTTCACATAGAGTTGAAATAGCTACATTACAGGTTGCAAACATTTTCCAGCCACCATTAATACACATTTCTCTTAATTCTTTAATTTGTACTATATATCTCAACTCTGCATTAGGGTTGTGTAGTCTGAAGCACAGATATAAGCTGGCTTGCTCTTTCAGAGATATGATTCACTTAGCTCTGCTCATGCTTCTTCATAAAGTGACTGTATGACACTAATAAGGAACTTTGAAACATCACCCAAGTCAGCTCCTACCTTCCAGGTACCTGCCTGAGAAACCTATGTAGACAAGTACCAACTGTCACCATTTTTCAGTGACGGAATTTAGAAACTTAATCCTAATTCACAGAAAAGAGAACAAAATTAAAGGTAAGGAAAATATCACAGCCATAATGCAGAAAAAATTAAATACAGTAACAACCCCCCGCCTTACAAATCCATGCTGTAGAAGACAAGTGGCAAAATGCAATTGCATCAAGTGGCTGCAATTTTCAGACTCCTTGGCTTCCAAGGAGAAGCTGTTTTTGCCTACAGGTGTCAGAAATATCCCAGCATTTTTATAAATCCCAAACAACAGTATTTGAAGCAGTCAATGTTTGTGAAAACAAATCCTCTGTTCATTGTATGCAATTTCTGCCATCCCTGTCCTCTTCTCCATCAAGCTAGGAAGACATTCAGTCATTGGAAATTTCTCCCAAGAAACATACTAGAGCTAGAAGTCCAATGTGGAAAGGAGCAACTGGAATTCTATCACGTTGATGGGGAGTCGGTGCACAAAGAGGATGCCAAAGAGTTCACAAGTTAAACACATAGGCTAATAATTAGAGTTGAACCTGCAACACAGACAGCTTAGTCTAGTGCCCAAGAGGGAAAAGCAAAGGTCTTGCTTCCTGATGTGATGTAGCACTAAGCACAATCACTCAACTCATGGACCAAAATCCTACTGGTCCTGCATGGGGTAACAAGGACATCATATGGGCCTACTCGTGCTGGCTGTTGTGTTTCTCAGCTTCCTCAGGTCAGAGCAGCAGTTGCATGCCTGCTTTTGTGACCTGTGGCAGGCAACGAGAGCAAAACTGGTGAATGATTGCCCTTATGTTTGTAGTCTTCCTAATAGAATGTGTTAAATATTACTAATCCCATTATTTCCAAATGGGAAGAGGACATCATTGGGGCATTGACATAGTTTTGCAGCAGCAAAGAGTACCTTGCTACTAAACGGAACTTGGAAAACTATATAAACTCATAAAACTATGTATTCATGAGTCAAGGAAAAAACTCTCCTGAAATCCTACCCTGCCAATTAAAAAGCAACGAATGCAATCTTCTTTTTCAGTCAACAGTGACTGCAGCTGTCATCAACAGGACACAACATCAAACACCATAAACCACAACAGAAGAAAACAAAACTTCTAGGATAACCTGACTCCTTTGTCTACTATACAAAAAACAGAAGAGTAGAGAAGCAATGGATGCTGGTGCACTGCAGAAGTATATTCAGGTACCTTCCTAGCTGCAGAAGATGTAAAACTACCAACAAGAGGAGGAAAAACAGGCCCATCCATTTTCTTTCAGGGCTTCTGACTTCCACTTGGGTTGCCTTCTGCAGAAATCTCAAAGTCTGTTCATCATTTGTCAAGGGAAGGAATGCTACTTCTGTTCTCTCTTCCAGACAATAACCATGCCTTTGGCATCACTGGATGCCAACAAGCTCTCATCACAGTTAAAGCTGACATCCAGCACAGCAGCACTATGTCCTTGCAGTTTGTTAACGATGGCCTTGGTGGCACGTTCCACATCAAAGAAGTAGACACACATATCCTCACTGCCAGTCACTGAAAAGCAAAAAGACGACTTATTACAGGGGACAAAAAATTCCCCACACCCTATAATATGTCACACTGTTCTCTGCTTCATATAGCAATTATAAACCATTCATGCTGTCAGCTGCATGAAGTGGAGCAAACTGCAGGCACAAAAGTGACAACCCACAAGTCAGCTGCATCCCCTCTGCAATCAGTGCAAGGTCATATGGATATCATACCAACACAAGCTCCTTGGCGGAAGGACATAAGAGGGCAGAAAATGCTACGGACAGGATGTGAGCTCTGCTGTATCTGAAAACTTCTCTTAAGCTGGAGTGTTCCTTCATTGTCCACTACCCTGTCAGGAAAAGCAGCAAGAACAGATAGTAAACACAGTGTGTTGTGTACTCCAAGGGAGGTTAATTTGTGTTCTCTGGATATGATTACAGCAAGCCTCCAAGCATGCCAGTGCCATATAAAAACCCATACCTATAGAGGAGCAGCTTGTTAATACAGGCATTGATGAGGAGAGAGGGGTCCCGTGCTTCTCTGCTGATCCAGGAACGGGCTGAGATGCTGGTGATAGAGCTACCCTCATTAACCACCAGCCGTTTGGCCTTAGTCAGTTTTCCTGCAGGAAGGTCAGAAAGCAGAGGGCATTATCTTGAGCCAAAGTGAATCTCACCTAATCCTTGTTCCCACTAGAATGCCCTCAGACTCACCTGTTGCCATGTCAAAGAGGAAAGAAAATATGCTGCCTTTGTCATCTCCTGCCCAGAGGATACGGCCAGATGAATCAAAGGAGAGAGACAGGACTCTGCCAGTGAGCTTGCTTGAGCCGCCTTTCACTTTTTTCCCTGTTGAGATGTTCACAACATGGAGGTTGTGCTTTCCATTCCCCACCTGAAGGACCAGATCATGTTATCAGTTGCATCCTTTACAGAATCATACAGCAAAAAGCAAGCATACACCCTTCCTGCTCAGTTCTCTCACTCCCTTTGTCTCACTTAGGATCTCCCACCTTGGAGATTCACTAAGAAACTGTAACATGCAGAAGGGGCTACTTTGGAGGGTATAGGAGCCAAATTTCCGTATCTAGAACCCACCAGTCAGAAATGTAAATTTTTTTAAAGGCACTGCCAGCATCTGAAATGTTACTTCTGGTTTTGTTTTACTATTTTGAGGTTGGGAGAAAGCCATCTGCAGCCCCCTCCCAGGAGCATACTATGACATTTGACATGAATATTGTTTCCCACATTCCAACACAAAAAAGTGTGGGGAATGGAGACAGGGAGATGAACTGAAACTAAACAGGGGAGCTTCTATGTCTGCAAAAATAGCTTGAGAGAAATCGCACACAGCCTGTGGAATATATTTTGCACACTCTTGCTGTGAAGGAGCATTAATGTTTCTGCAAATATAATTCCCTCATCCTCTGGTCAGATCATCCACTCCTCTGCAAAAAGCAGGGAAGAAAATAGTAGCAAATGTGCTTCCCATATCTTTTGAATCTATCAATTCCTTCTTTTCCTGCATTATGTGAGGCAGGACAATCCTATAGAAACCTATGTCTTCTGGAGGGGACAACCCCAAATATCTCTGTTCTCCTGCTCAGAGATGAAAGGAGACAGCCTATCCTAGACACCAAACTTCACTTACCACCGTGAGATTATTGTTCATTGGCTGGAAAGTGCAGCAGAGCAGCTCAGAGGTATCTGGATCTGGAATTTCCCGGATGCACTTGCCATCCTCTGTCGCCCAAATGCGCATTGTGGCATCAAGTGAAGTAGAAACGATAATGTCATTGGAGAGGGACCAGGCAAAGTCAGAAACACCCCGGCTGTGTCCCTTTAGGACCCGCAGCACCACAGGAGGAGTGGGCACCAACTGGCACACTGAGATGGTGCCATCTAGCGAGCAGCAAGCTAGCAGGTGTTTATCATCATTGGCAAACTGAACCTTGGGCACTGGAAAGTAGAGGTTGGAGAGAGAAGTACTGTCAGCCAGCAGTGGCAGCAAATGCAACACATACATATGAGCCTGTCCTGTTAAAAGAGTCTTAACTGAACTTCCACACGACTACAAGAGGTCCTAGTGCCAGTCATTACTCAGAGAATATAATTCTCTCCCTCTTTCAACATAATTATCCACTTCTCTTAGGGCAATTGGAGTAATGTGGGGGAAGGGAAGAAGTGTGCTAAGCCACTGAAGAGTAATAGCACTTAAGCATGGTTCTCACCAAAATCTCCAACTGCAGGCTGTAAAGGCTTATTCAGTCCTCCCTCAGCAATCTCATCTGAAGAAAACAGTAATACTCATCTCCAAATCTAGTTTGGGGCCTTGGACATTACCCTTTTGTGTAATTTCCTTTGCAAAGAATAACTTTCATGTCACTGTAGTTCTTATCACATGTTACACAACAGGGAGACATTTAGAAGTCAGCCAACAAAGACCCTTCCTACTGAATTTATTTAATTTAAATCCTGCCTTTCTCCTGATTCAGGGACCCAAGGTGGCTTACAGATGGCAGTGAGCTTGCTTGAGCCACTTATATACAGTACAATGCCAGTTGTATACAGTACATTAAAATGTTGTCAAAATTTACAAAACATGTAATAATATTAAGATGATAGCTCAGTGGTTTTAGATGGATTGGGAGTTTGACTCCCCACTGTGCCTCTTTGATTGGAGGCTGACCCAATGATCTATAAAGTCCCTTACAGCAAAAGGAATATACAACAAAAATAGACTCGAGGTGCAAGAGAAGCACAGCATCCCCTATTAAAAATTCTGTGTCTTGATAAGTGGTAAAAAGCTTAATTGAACAGAAAGATCTTTGACTGGCAGCAGAGCTACAGGACAGATGGAGCCAACCTAGCCTTCTGTTCTACTCACCAGCCTCATCCACGTGCTGGTCAAAGATATGGTACATGCCAGCAAAGGCATAGTTCTCACTTAGTGTTGTATCCCCGGCCATGGCACGGCTTGCTTCTGCCACTGAAGTGGGGACAACGCTGCCAGGGGGTCTAAAGGAAGATACAAGCGAAATGAAGCCAACACCACAAAGTACATTTCGGACAGGATGGGTGGGGAGATTTGGAAGCAGAAAGACTTTGTTTTGACTGCATCATCTGTACCATAGTCAGAACAATATTCCCAGATCACAGTTATCACCAGTCTGTCCTGATCCAAACCAGCCAGGTCACTGGCATGCAGCCTGTGAGGAACATGGGACCCCATACCCACTTTTATCTCCAGATTTAGTCTGTGTTGGCCTTATACCTCTCATCGTAGACAGCTCGGTTCATTTGAGCCTGCAGCTGGTAGGACCCTCGGCTGACAGAGCGGCGGTGGCCACGGGCGCCCAGTGCTCTTGGGTCGTCATCAAAATCCTGTGGAACAAGAAATAATCACATTTGAAAGCAGCATAGAACTAGAGGACATAATAATGAGAAGAGCACACACAAAGCAGGTTTTCAAGGTCAGGATGCAGGAGAGGAAGCCACAGCACCTGGGGAAGAAGTAGTAACACTCCACAGAACAGCACTTCAATAGAAAAGTTGTAGTCTAGTTCTCAAAATCAGAAGCATGTAGCCTGTTCTAAATAAGGCTCTGAAGTTGGAGTTGCTGCTTCTGTAACCTTTCCAGAAGTCACTTTGTTCTTCGCTTGCTTCTGTTGTCTCTCTCTGTATACTGTCCTCTTCCAAGTCTTTGCAAAGGACCCTAATTCCTTGAATACCTGAATCTTGGAATCAGAACTGTGTTAAATGGCTATATGCAAATATGCTTATTTTGAAAATACGTGCACTGGATGAGTATGCCTAAATCCAATGGGTAGCCCCAACTGTAGTAGACTACTGAATGAATGACCATTACACAGTTGATTCTATATATCTATGCTAGAGAGGACTACCAACTGGATTTAAAACCATACAGTTTGGCTTTCTTAATGGGCAGAGTAGATATGGCTCTGATAATGGCAAAGGATGCTGTGCTGCATGGAGCTGGTGCTCTTACAATCCTGTGCTGCGACACTAGCAGCATCCTTAACAGGAATTATTCTCTCCTCACAGCAAGTGTTGCTCTTCATCTCTCCCCAAGAATCTACAGCCATCTCCCCACCACAGGAACAAGCATCTGTTACAGTACAATGAACTCCTGTGAAAATACACTGGGCTGGTATCGTTCCAGTTCCTTGGCTTGCCCTCTAACATAAGAGCCCAGGTTACCTCCATGCGGTCGAGTGTGGTGCGACTGCTTCGGACAATGCTGTTGCTGTAGGCACGAAAGCTGCTCTGTTCTGAGAGAGGGCCGTAGCGCTGGGCCAGGAGCTGGCTGCGCAGTCGCAGGTACTGCTTGCGGAGCGAGGGATCGTAGCCGGCTTTGGCGTTGTCCCGCAGCAGCTGGCTGCGCCGGCGGATATACTGTGTGCGGAACTGCGGGAAGTTTGGGGTGCGATATGCGTTGTACCTGCAATAGGGGTTTGGTTCATCAGGTGCTTGACGCCTCAGCCAACAGGAGCTTTGTTGAGCCCACCCCATGCTTCAGCATCATGCTGGGTTAGCACCAACTGAGAGGAGAGAATCTCCTATATTACAGCCTGTCTTCCAGCACCTGTAAGATTCCCTGCAGCACAGTGTCCTGTATTAACCATACTGGGGACAGTCCTTGCGTAGCAGGACTGCACTTGTATCTCAGTGGCCAAAATCCCCCTGCCCAGCTAAACAAATGATGTATCTTCTGGAGACAAACTCCAAAGTTAAGAAATTGCTGTAGACATTATCACCTGCACAGCATCATGTATTCAGTATGCAACAGGGAATGTCTATAGGGATTCCTTAACTTAAGGCAACTCACCTCCAGACATTACAGTTTGTGTTACAGCTACATAACAAGGCAAGGTTTGGGTCAACATGTTTTTAACACTACCTAGTCAAAAATGTTCAGATATTTAGAAGAAAATTATTTCAGTGTCAAGTCACATATTAAGAACTTAGACTCATGGATTGTGTATCTCTAAAATATTAGTGAGAGCCAGTGTAGTACAAGGGACAGAGTGTCAGACTAGGACTCAGAAGACCTGGGTTCAAATCCCTTCATGGCTGTGGAAACTCACAGAGAGTGGTGGCCCTGGTAAAACCACTTCTTCAATACTGTATCTCACATGCATTAAAAACCATATTCAGATCACCGTAAGCTGGATATGACTTACTGCTACACAGCACACAAAATACTAACAGTCTTTCCTCCCAATTAGGTAAAACCACTTCTTAAATATCTCACATGCATTAAAAACCATATCCAGATCACCGTAAGCTGGATATGACTTAATGGTACACAGCACACAAAATGCTAACAGTCTTTACTCCCAAAATCAAGACAAGTAAAAGAGATTTTCTTCCTAGATTTCAGGACATATTTTGAGAGGCTGTTTTAATTCCTACATTGACTGCAATTTACAGCATCAAAAGAGAAGTGATTCATATAGAGCAGTGATTCACAACCTTGGGTCCTCAGATGATCTGGGACTGCAGCTGTGCTGGCCAGGATTTCTGGGAGCTGTAGTCCAAGAATGTCTGGGGACCCAACATTGAGAACTACTGATCTAGAGGAACTGTTACGAATAAATGTGAAATTATATTTACACACAGGTGTCTGTACTGGTGAGATGTTTCCCTTCCCCCTGCAACAAACTTTGATCTTCAGTTCTCATACAAAGGAAAGCAAAACCAAAGTGTGCTGCTTATATACTGCCCTATAACAAACCACTCTTGGAGTGGTTCACATTTTAATTATCCAGGCTGCATAAGTATTATCTTAAAATTTCTGCCTCCCTGAACACGTAAACTACAACCAACCTGGTTCCTCTTCCAGACCTTATGCTTCCCAGCAAAAAGGAACGTTGCCCAAGCGCAAAACCAAAGTGTGCTGCTTATATACTGCCCTATAACAAACCACTCTTGGAGTGGTTCACATTTTAATTATCCAGGCTGCATATCTTAAAACGTCTGCCTCCCTGAACAATTAAACTATAACCAACCTGGTTCTTCTTCTGGACCTTATGCTTCCCAGCAAAAAGGAACTTTGCCCAAGTCACCAGTAGGTCTTGCCCCATTAAACTTACCGTGCATCTACAGCGAGCACCTGCTGCCACACTGCTGCCATGCCCCACACTGCCACCGGCTGCTCAGGGGAACTTGTAAGGGGGTGCCTGCAATTGGATGGTGACAGAAACATCAATGTGTCAGATACATATGGAAAAGGGTATTCTAAAAGAAAGAATCTATGATCTCAGAGTGCTTCTGTGGGGCCATGTTGGCTGAGGGATTCTGGGAGTTGTAGTTAAACATCACCTGTACATAATTTCTCCATACTCTGATTTATTAGAATTTCTCTCTTATTAGAAGAGAAATGTTGTGAAGTGACAGATTCTCTCCTGTTATAGTTTCTGAGAAAGAAAAACACAATCGGATTCTCTGTTCATCAGCACGCACCTGCAAGGCCAAGGGCCCTACTGCTGGCTATGACACTGCATTTCATTTAAGACCTCAGGTAAATTAAGCACAGGCAATGGGGAGGCTAAGCAGAGAGTGATAAGTCTGCACACCAACTACTCAGCAAAATGAAGAGCACTGTGATGGGAGTCTTCACAAAATGAAGGATGTGAGTGTGATGTATTTTTTTCTACAGGGGACAGGAGAGCAGAAATTGCAGGGCCTTTATTTGGAATCCCTGCAATATTCTGTTAAGACTATTTTGCTGGGAGAAAAGGAAAAACAGAATTTTACATTGAGGGAGGTAGGATGCTCATTCTACAGACAGGTAGCAACAGAAGCAGGGATGGATATAGGCTACAGTATCTCCCAAACTGTCAAGCTAGGAATAGGTTGAGACCCACAACATACCTCCCATCCATCAACTTATTTTCTGCATTATTCTTAGTAGCTTTACCCAGGGAGGATTACACACACAAATGAACCACCAAACCCCTGAGCTTAGTGGAAGATGGCAATTCCTACGCTGGAGCATCCCCATGAGATCTCAGCCGCCTGTGATCTCAAGCTAAATCCAGCCCTGGGTTGGTTTTCGACTCTTTCATACACCCCCCCCCAAAACCTCCAAAGAGGCCATTTTTGCCCATGGTTTCCTTTTTTAAAGGGAGGAGTCAACTTTCTCATAAGGGGTCTATTGTGCTACACCGGGTGTGCAGCGTGTGTGTGTGTGTGTGTGTGAGAGAGAGAGAGGGGGGGAGGGACGGAGGGAGGGAGGGAGAGAAGGAAAATCGGTGCCCTAATATCCTAAGGGTGACAAGCTCTGACAGTCCCTGAGCTGGGAGGAAGGAGGGCTGCAAATGGGATGGGATGAACATGAATGGTGGCCATTCTGTGACATGGGAGGGGGAAGGAGGAAAGCTCTGCCCGAAGGTCTGCCTTTGGCTTATTTCTATGGCAACAGAAGAAGGGAGGGCTGCAAATGGGATGGGATGAACATGAATGGTGGCCATTCTGTGACATGGGAGGGGGAAGGAGGAAAGCTCTGCCCGAAGGTCTGCCTTTGGCTTATTTCTATGGCAAAAGAAGAAGGGAAACAGAGAGAAACCGAGGGGGGGGGCGGCTGCCAGGCTTGGGATGGGGAAGGAGCAAGGAACGAGCCCGCAGGATCTCCATGGCGACGAGAGCAATCGGCAAGGAGGGGCGAGCACGCCCAGGGGGGGGCAGGGGCACTGCCCGACCCGTTTCTTCGGGGGACCCGGCAAAGGAGCCGGCGGGCGGGATGGCAGCGGGTGGAAGAGCCCGGCCCAGCCGCCACCCACCCCCCGCACGAAGGGTGGAGAGAGAGGGAGGAGGAGGCAGACGGTACCTGCAGCGGAGCCCGCTTTCCCAGTCCCGGCGACGGCCGACGGCGGCAGCAGCAGCAGCAGC